CAGAGTTCTGAAGGAGCTGGCAGGTGTCATCTCAGAATCATTGCACCATATCTTTAAAAAAAATCCTGGAGCGCTGTGAAACTACCAGAGGATTGGAAAAGCACTGATGGGGTTCCCATCTTCAAAAAAAGGAAAAAAACCCAGACTCACTGTCTGTCAGCTAAACCAGACATGTCAAACACAAGGCCTGGGGGCCGGATGTGGCCCGCGAAGTGGTTTCATGTGGCCCGCAAAGCCATCCTGGAAACAGTGAGGGAATGGCCCCCGCTGCCTTGGCCCTGGCCCAGGCCAGCCAGGAGCCAATGTACAATTTTGTGGTGGCCATATCTATGCTGAAAGGCATTCAGTCTTAGCACCACAAGGCCGTCTAGAAACAGAGAGGAACCAGCCCCTGCCGCGTCGGCCCCGCCCCCCGGGTGCATGCTGGGGAGGTGTCATTCTTTGTGAGGAATGAAGAAATGGACCATGCCTTGGCGCTTGCCCCGATCCCACCCCCTTCTGCCAGAGACCCTCAGATCTGTCCCACTCCTGCCCAGGCCCCCACAGGCACCCTTGACACGAACGATGTAGAGCTGGCCATGCCCACCCAGTAGGCCACACCCACTCCATCCATGCCCACCCAGTAGGCCGCAACCACCCTGGCCACACACACACCCAAGAGCAACCGCAATGCTGATGCGGCCCTCAATGAAATTGAGTTTGACACCCCTGAGCTAAACAGTCAATTCAGTATATGACAGTCTCCTGTGTTGGTCCTACCTATCTCTTGACAGGTGAGTGTGCATCTAGAATAAGGACTATAATAAAATTTAGGACGTATTTAAGCAATTTCATCACTAATGATTTTCATAAAGTTGTCTTTTTATGAATTCAATGTTTCATCCAAACAGTATCAACAGTCTGAGGCACCCCTTCAACATATGGACAGTGGTGGCAGTGATCACCCCACTTCTTCCTCCCATTTTCTCCTTTATAGAGACAAGCAAGAGATACTTAAATTCCTGGCATCGTGGTTGATGTTGCTTCAAGTCCCAGAGTGCAAATGACTTTCTGGTTCTAATGAGAAAACAGCTGTGCTGGAGCAGCTCTGCTGCTGAATCCTGCTGTGGTAATTGCCAGCTCTCTGTGTTATTTAGACCGGGAGCTTTTAGCTACTTGCATCTTGCTGTGTCAAAGGAGCTAATGGCTGAGAAAGAGCTATGTCTCCAGTAGTCTCAGCAAGGGCCGTCTTCTGCTCCTTGCTCACAAGACATTTGCTGATATCATACCCTGCCCCAGTCCAGTCTGGCCATTTTGAATTGAAATGCCCATAGGTCACAGCTTCTATCTAACTATGGAATTCTAGACAGAAGCAAACACTCTTTTTAAAGTATTTTCAGAAAATATATTGATTCTGGAAAACTGATGTGCACCATAACTTGATTTAGTGATATATAATGCAATAAATCCAGCTGCTTTTGGAGCCAGAGGCCTAAGGGATCAAGATGGGCTGTCAATCTTTTTAAAAGAACCAGGCTGGTACTGTTTGATGCAGGACCAGCATATATCCACAGAGGAACTTTAGCATCTTCATTAAGCAAACAAAATAGCAGGTGGAAGCAGGCAGATGCCTATTGACTATAGCAGCCACTAGGTGGCAGTAAGGAGACACTCTACAGATTTTCTCCTGCACTGTTTAGCACAGTGTTTCTCAACCTTGACAAGTTTAAGATGTATAGATTTCAACTCCCAGAATTCCTCAGCCAGCAGTGAATTCTGGGAGTTGAAGTTCACACCTCTTAAAATTGTTGGTTATTCTGTTAGGGCTCTGCTCTTAATGTGGACAAGGGCGGTTCATCTGAGACATTTCTCTTGGAGGTCCCAGAGAAAACTACTTATGGTTCTGTTCACTTTGTTAGCTTTAACGACACTGCCATTGTAACAATAATTAAAGCAAGTGCACAGATAAAAGGATTAGAAGGGCCATGATCTTTCAGAAGACTAGGCTTTGGCAACAGAATAACATAGGAGGAACGTCAAGGAAAAACGGTTAGTTCATTAGAGGGTCACGCTATTGTACAGGTATCAATTAACCTACAGTTAAACAGGTTATCTCTGATTCAGACAAAGAAGAAAAAACAAGATTGGTTTGCAAGTCAAAGATCTCACAACATAGTTATTTGAAGCTAAACTGTTTTTACAAGTAGCTATATTTCAATAACCATTTCTGCTTCTTTGTTGCTAATCATTACATCATGTGCACATTTACCTTGACAACAAGTTTTTTAAATTTACCATGTTACATATTAGGTTGTAGGTACACTTAACTAAATGTGCTTAGTAGCTGCAGATTTATATTCCATGGGGCATTGGCTAAACTGTCAAAGTATGGGAATACCTGAAGATCAATATGCCTAACTGAGCTGTTATGCCAGGATAAAGATTTTTTTTATTATTATTATGTGGCTTAAAATTGCATTTGGTGAAGAAACAAGTGAAGAAAGTAGGATTATTATACCAAAATTCCAAATGACTAAAAAGATTATTTTTCTGCAGTGTGTGCAAGTCAGAAACTAAGAAGGCTTCTGTGGCTAATCACAATCTTTGGGATATTGTTTTTAAGTTGGAACAAAATAAAGTATAAATGTTCACAATATCCACTTACCTGTGTAGAGCCTTTTTTTCCTTTTCTTCTGATCACTTGTGTTTGCACCAGAATTCTTTCTGTAACATGTTTACTAAGGAGAAAAGTAATCCAAACAAACTGGAAGTCAAATGCAATTGCAACTATTAGCAACATTTTACAGCCTCAGAAACTAAACAAGTAATCCACATATTTTTTCAGAGACAAGATGTAGAACTAAGTAATCTTTTCGCCTGCACTTAGTTCATTCATTTCCAGATAGGATTGCATGTTGCCAACAAGAAAAAGTTTTTGCAAAAGAGAACTGAAACTTCTCTCATCAGATAAATCAGGGGGTCTTGGCCCTTTTATGACTTGTGGACTTCAACTCCCAGAATTCCTCAGCCAGCATGTCTGGCTGAGGAATTCTGGGAGTTGAAGTCCACAAGTCATAAAAGGGCCAAGTTTGAAGACCCCCTGATGTATACATGATTAGGAAGACTCCAGTTTCACTAATCTAAATGGGGGAAATCCAATGCCAGTTATAAGACTAATAACTATATAGAAATGTCTTGCAATTAAAAGGAAAGGAAATTTAATAGGAAGATATCAACACTGTACCACTATGTTCTAACTATAAATGCCAATTTCAAAAGAATGACTGGCAAACAGAGTAATATTTCAGCATAAATTATGTCAGTCAAATGTTTGATAGACATATCTAGAGCTCCAGTTGCTGTTCAACTGTATTAACTTTAAACTGAACTTGGACCAGCTTTCTTTCAAACAGAGAATAAATTCAATAAAATAGTCTTGGGTAAAGCTAAACCACACAACTATGCTCTCCAAAACAGATAAAATAGTTCAGAACAAATAGGAGGAAAAGAATAAGTGAAACCAACCAAATTTTAGACCTTCTCTTGGATATCTCTAAGACATTTGTAATATCTTAGAAATACTCTACCTGATCTTGGAGGTTTGGTTATACCTCCTAATTTGATTCAAGCCATGGTTTGAGAACCAGGCCTCATTTGCCTGTATTTTATACATCACTCCAACTCCTCATAGAAAGTCACAATATGGTTGGGTTGGTTTTGGCTTACTACACGTGAAACCAGCTATTATATGTGAATCATAGTTCTGTATGATGCAACAGCCATGCTAGTTTTGGGTTATTCAGCACATTGTCACCAAAATTTGGCTTAGCCACAAATGTGAACACATTCCTCTTTAGGAAAAACAGATTAATTTTAGATACTGGATGTGGCCATAAAGAGAGAGGTTAAACCAGACTGCAGGCTACATAGTATCTAATGTTTTAAAAATTGCCACCTCAAGTGGTAACAAAATAGCTTGCCTTGCAGTAAATTGTCTCATTTATTCTTTACTACTTTCTAGCAGAACATGGAATGTTGAAAATACAATACACAAAATGTATTTTAAAGAAATGAAAGGAAAAACAGGATACTCTTATTTGTATACAGCTTATTCTGTGGGTTTCTTTCTGGCTTGCTCTTGTAACTCTTGGGCATATACTGTTCACTTGACATTTACTATGTGGCTTTTTGTAAATAATCAGCTTTTTTATGCGTCAGGTGCAGTATTTTAAATTAGAAATAAAGCTTCTACAAGGGTCTATTCCAATGCATTGGCTGTAGGCACGACCCAGGGTGAGTTTCAACCCCTCTAAATGTTTAAAATATTAAATGCAAAAGTTCTGCAAGAATTATTGAGGGGAAAAGAGGAGTCTAGTTGCAAAACCGGCCTTTTATAGCTCTGAATTTCGCTACAAAGTCAACTTCGGTAGTCTACACGCATCTCAGGAGGAAATTTGGGGGTAAGAATACACTTTTTGAGAAATTTGGGGGTAAAAATACACTTTTTGAGGGGGCCGCTTGTTAAAAACTGCAGCGCAAAAACCTACACCAATCCCTTCGTCACAAAGGAAATGGAAGACTTCGCACTTCCGGGACTGCGCATGCGCTATTTTTTCCCGCCCTTTCCCCGCTCGGGTTCCCCAGATCCCGCCTCTTTCCACATGCGCAGAAATAACAGACGCTACTGAAACGAGCTTTCCTTAAAGAGTCTGGCGCCTCTCCACTAACAACTTGGCATCATCGTTGTAAACGCATGCGCATGACACGGCCGAGTGGGCCATACCACTCCTGGGTTTCTGTAAGGGGGGAGGAACTGTACCACAGACTTCAAATTAGGTCCTTTGGCGAAGAAAGAGAATGTGAGAAACTTCGAAATGGAAATAGTAGTAAAAAGAATTTTGAACTATGCCCCCTCCGGAGCACATTTTTCCCTCGCGATGATCAAAGCCTTCAGTGAGACGTCCCGACGTCCCCCCCCCAAGCGCCTTGGCGTGGCTCGTTCTGGGACCCGCTTTGGTCCGCAGTTGCTGAGGGGAAAAGAGGGCGCCGCCATTTTGTCGACAGCGAGGAGAGTGGAGGCCTCAGCCGGGAGCTTGCCCAAGGTCCTCTCGCGGCCCAGTCGCAACCGATTCTGTCTTGTCCTGCCTAGGCTTCGCGCCAGCGGTGAGTCCAGGGGTTGGAGGACGAGTCGGCTTGGCGCAGGGGTCGCCCGAGGGGGGAAAGGCCGGGCCCTCACGCGGAGGCTGCGGTGACTGAAACCCCGCCGAGCCCCGATGGCGGGTATGGGCCTTTCTCTCGCGCTCTTCTCCAGCTGGGAGCCTTCCATGTTTGAGGGAACTACAATTTCCACCATTTAGCCAGCGAGGCCTTCTTTTCGCAAAAGGCGCCTTCCAGTTCGTGCTGGCTCCCGCTGCGCCCCCCCTCCCCCCAATTCCGAGCCAGTGCTGAGAGGAATGGAGGTTGATGGGACTTGTAGTTCAGAGGAGGTGGTGGTCTTGGATCAGAGCCAAACGAGGCTTGCCTCAGTTCTGGGCCTCTGCTCCTTATTTCAAGTATTTTTCAACCTGTGTCTTTTTTTTTTCCTCCCTCCCGCCGCTGATTTTGAAAACCTAAATAAAGGTCGGACTAAGAACTTGGATGGGGAACCACTAGCAAATCCTAGGGCTGTCAGTTCGTCTGAGAAGTTTAAAAAAAAAAAATCTCTAAAGAAGGCAGTAAACAAATCACTTCGGTATTGTGTCAAGAAAATTTCGTGGATATTACGACGAAGCAATGAGAAGTCAAGGAAACTTCTTACTTCCAAGTTGTTTCTAAATTGCTGAGTTACCTCCTTCGATAGGACAATTGGAAAAAGAGAGGAATTTTTTTTTTGCGTAATTATTTCGAGAATATTTAATCTAATCTCCAGGGTACATTTTATGGGTAATTTTCTCCCAGGGTGGCTACATTTGTAGCTGTTTGTACCATTAGAGTGTGTGTTTACAGTTGTAAACAAAACAAAAAAAGCATCTTGCAAGAAAATCCATTTGCAGCAGAAATGGATTGTCCTTGAATTTCTATTAGATCCCGCAGTTTTTATCAGCAGTTGTTGCAAAGTTGTGTGCTTGCCATCCAGTAAGAACTCTGTAAGTGGTCTGTTAGGGGCAACCAAGTGGGAGGAAAATTAGCTCTGACATCCCAGAATGATAGAGGAGTCAGTTCAAGAAAATACATACATTCTGTACTATATCATCTTCATCCCATTGATACTGTTAGTGACAGTTTTATTCCAAAGCAGTCTTCTTTGAAACAAGTGAGTCATACGTCCCTGTTGTGGGTTCTTTGAACTGTGTGACCGGAATAAACTTTGTACTCAGCTTTCCATTTGTGATGCTAATGCTATTGCTAATGAAACTCTTCAGAATAGGAAATAGGTTTTTAATGCATATTTTAGAGTCAGAAACAGTTTCAGTCCTTGACTTATAGCAGTTCATTTAGTGACTGTTCAAAGGTACAACAGCACTGGAAAAAAAATAAGTTATGGAGGTTTTTCACAAGTAATGACCATTGCAGCATCCTCATGATCATGTGATCCAAATTCAACTGACTCATATTTATGACAGTTGCCATGTCCTGGGGTCATGTGATCATCTTTTGCGACATTCTGACAAGCAAAATCAATGGGGAAGCCTTAACCGTGTTACTAACTTAACAGTGGCAGTGATTCACTCAGCTGAGAAGAAAGATTGTAAAAGGGAACAAAATTCATTTAACAACTATCTTGCTTAGCAACAGAAATTTTGGACTCAATTGTGGTCCTATGTCGAGGACCACCTGTATGCTATTCCTCATTTTGTGTAAGATTTTTTACTTTTTGTAGTATTGCATGTTAAAAGTTTATTTCTTTAAAGACTTTATATTTAATTTTTCTGCATAGTTACTACTGTGGCAGCTTATAGATCAGTTAAAAACAAGATGGGTGTTGTTTTAATTATACATTTATCCATATCCATACACATATTTTCTCTTTGAGAGTAAGCAACATTATCAGCCTATAAAGTAAAAATACAAGACAAAGAGGAATAAACAAATCATAATACTTTAGGATTCTGTGTAAGAGAAAGGGACCAATTTTGGTGTTGTGGTGTATACAGAAATTGCTGTTTGTTTTAACATGTTCAGTTGAACAGGAAAGCCAAAGGATATACTATAGTCAAAAATGGCTAGTGTCTTGCTGAGCTGGTGGAATTGATTTGCTAATTACCCTGTTACTAAATAGCTGGCTGACGGGTTTCAGTTTGGCAAGATGGCAGGGATAGTAGCTACTTTATAATTAGATTAACTGGAATGTGTTGTGTAGGCTTTAAAGGTAGCGTGTAAGTGTAAATGTAACTGAGCATCTGAATGGCTACTGTTGGAATTAAAATGGTAGTTGGTACTATATTATTTAAATGGAGTGATTTTGTATGCCAAATGTCTGAATGTTAAAAATACAGTATGCATTTTAAAATACAGTAAAATACAATATGCATTCATTATTTTTTCTTTCTGAATTTAAGGACTGTAAGGAAGACACATTAACCTCTGTCTCCCATCTTCCCAAATGCTATTAAGGTAAAAATAAGATGTGTATAAAATAGGATGGTACTTTGTACTGAGGCAGACTCAGTTTAGTATTGTCCATTCTGATTGTAAGTGGATCTTTAGGTTCTTAAATATTTTTCAGTCCCCTGTATTTCTTTCCACTAGAGATACAAGGATTGAATTTACAGCCTTTACCACACAAAGTATGCTCTATTATTTTAGTCACAATCTGTCCTTTTTCAATTCAGGTTCTGTCAAATAAACAGTAGTTAGATTCTGCCATAAGCCAAACCACTGGTTATTTTTGTTTATAAATTGCATGTTGCTTTTTATTCATCTGTTTCTTTTTTACCCTTCAGTAACATCACGGCAGAGATGTCGGAATACATCCGAGTTACAGAAGATGAGAATGAGGAACCCATTGAGATCCCTTCCGAGGATGATGGGACTGTGTTACTCTCCACAGTTACTGCTCAATTCCCAGGGGCATGTGGCCTGCGTTACAGAAACCCGGTGTCTCAGTGTATGAGAGGAGTCCGATTAGTGGAAGGAATTCTTCATGCGCCGGATAATGGCTGGGGAAATTTGGTATACGTGGTGAATTATCCCAAAGGTGTGTGTTTAAAGTTATTCTTTTCTTTTAAAAAAAAAGCTTCTTATCAACTATAACAATACATAGTTGGAAATTAAATCAATTATTCTTTTAAATAATTGGGAATAATAGTTTAAAGTTCTGACTGCACAAACGATCATAGTTCGCTAAAGTATAGGCTGCCCAGCTTCCAGCAACTTTGGGAGCCTTCTTGTTGCGATTAACGTAAATCTGTGTTTGTGTCCATGGCTGTGTCTTAGACAACAAGAGGAAAATGGACGAAACGGATGCTTCGTCAGCCGTTAAAGTGAAACGGGCGGTGCAGAAAACTTCCGATCTGATAGTTTTGGGTCTTCCGTGGAAAACAACAGAGCAAGATCTGAAGGAGTATTTCAGCACGTTTGGAGAAGTTCTCATGGTGCAGGTATCTGGCACAAGCTCTTGATGGTCCTTAACGTTAGAATGAAAATTTAGTTTAGCTGGAGGAGGACTCAGATGGAGCCCCCTCTCAGCAGGGAAGACCTGTCCCTCCTCCCTCTGGGCCAGATGGAACGGCCTTTCCAGGGTTATGCAGCTTTTCATCAGAAACCATAACGCAGGATGGACGCTTCAGCTAAGGGGCAGAACATTAGCATGTTTCCATTATTACGTATTTCAAATTTACTTTAGAAACAAGGCGCATGTAGTGACATAATGCCATTCTGGTCCTATAATCCCCCCCCCTAAATCTAGGTTAAGAAGGACATCAAAACTGGCCACTCAAAGGGGTTTGGCTTTGTGAGATTTACCGACTACGAAACCCAAGTGAAAGTCATGTCCCAGCGTCACATGATCGATGGGAGATGGTGCGACTGCAAGCTCCCCAATTCTAAGGTACGTTATGACATTGGTGGGCGTTGCGGGTCGAATTGGGCCCAGGGATTCTGTTCTACGAAACAAGTTGGCAGAAGACCAGAGCGGTCCGGGCGTTCGTGTAACTTGACGGGGGTTTTGCGAATGGAGCGAAGCCCTTCTTAGTTTTCCAATTTCAAATTCCTTGTCATATCACTTGAACTTTGGAAGGGACAACTTCAAAGTTTCATTTTTTTCCCCCTGTTGGCTACTTGCTGCATTATTATATGGGAGGGGAGAAAAGCCTTTGTTGGTTACGGCCCCTATAACTGTTTTCTTATATAATTAACATAAAATCTTCTGCATTGGTACCAGCAAAGTCCAGATGAACCTTTGCGTAGCAGGAAAGTGTTCGTTGGCCGTTGCACTGATGACATGACTGCCGATGAGCTCCGTCAGTTTTTTTCACAATACGGAGAAGTGGTTGATGTCTTCATTCCCAAACCATTCAGAGCTTTTGCCTTCGTTACGTTTGCTGATGATCAGGTATTCACCCAATGCGCTCTTTCCCCGAGGAGCATGCTCTGTTTTCCTTAAGCAGTTTTGCATTTAATTTCATCGTGTGTTAAATGTAAATGCAGTTGGCTTTTGAATTACGAGGCATATAAATTGCATACATCCTGCTAATGCTTTATTCCTGTCAGCTACCCAATCATTTTAAGAGAGGTGTTCATTCGGGGGAAAGCCTGATCTAAAGTATCTCAGTATTACTGTGTAATTAGATGCTTCCATTTCATTGCCACTGTTTAAATAACAATGGGCACAAAGCAAACCTTGTAAATAAACTTGGCTGTTAATCATTTTTGCCCTTGAGAATGAAGGGGGGAAAAAACAACTCTTAACTCTTGTTTGCCTGGGAAGCTGATTAATCTTGCCACAGACTTCTGGGCCAGTGGTTACTTATAAATTTGTATGAAGCAGCATTCAATTTCAAAATTCAGCTGCCTAAGAGCTATAATCGGGGTAATTGTATGGGATGGGCTCCCTTTTAGAAGGGTCAGTGGAAGCTTTTGTGAGGAAATGGGTTTTTTGTTTCAGACTTGAGCAGAATGGGTATGAAGTACAGTGCAAGTTAAAATTAGTATTGCGCACTCCTGGCGTTTCAGAAAAAGAGAGTAGTTTTCTGCTGTTGTGAGGGAATGCTGGGTAATCATGGCTACTTCAAACGAGCCTAGATATTCATTGCTGCTCTTGTGCTGCTTTTTGTGCATTTGTTGTCTCCCTCCCTTTGCTCAGCCCTCCTTCCTTGTTCCTTACAGGTCGCCCAGTCCCTCTGTGGTGAGGACTTGATCATAAAAGGAATCAGCGTCCATATATCCAATGCTGAGCCTAAGCATAATAGCAGTAGACAACTAGAAAGAGGTGGAAGATTTGGTGGTAATCCAGGAGGCTTTGGGAATCAGGGGGGATTTCCTAACCGGGGGGGAGGCGGGGGAGGCGGTGGACTGGGTAACAGCCAGGGCAGTAACATGGGAGCTGGGATGAACTTTGGGGCCTTTAGCATCAATCCCGCCATGATGGCGGCTGCCCAGGCAGCGCTGCAAAGCAGCTGGGGGATGATGGGCATGCTTGCCAGCCAGCAAAACCAGTCTGGGCCATCAGGGAGCAACCAGCCACAGGGCAACATGCAGAGGGAGCAGAACCAAGGGTTTAGCTCCGGGAGCAATTCCTACGGAAGCTCGAACTCTGGCCCGGCGATAGGGTGGGGCTCCTCCAACACAGGCTCCAGCAGTGGGTTTAACGGCGGGTTTGGTTCAAGCATGGATTCCAAATCATCGGGATGGGGGATGTAAGCAGGCTTAATACTGACTCTGGTGGGAAATCAAATTTTTTTTTTCTAGAGCTCCTGGTAAGTATAATCTAAAGTGCATATACTAAAAGGAAAAAAAAAAAAACCAACCAAATTTGTTCAGTGTGTAGTATATTTCGATAGTATTTTTGACACTTTTTTTTCTTTTGTAAGGGGGAAAAAAAAGATTAAATGAAGTTTTATAGGTTTTGTTACCATGAGTTGGAATACATGAGTTGGGATTATTGAGTGGCTGAACGTGAACTGTTTCCCTGACTGGTAAACGGATGTGCTGCAATTTAAATAGGAATTTGTAAAGATTTGATTCCTCGTTTCCTAGTTAGCTGAGATCTTATGCATGTTTCAAAAAAAAAAAATATCAGAAACTGCATCCTATCCTTATTAATTTTTTTCTTTTAATATTTAATTTGATCCCCCCCGCCATAAGAATTTTTCTCTCTTTCTCTCCTTCCCCCTCCCCCAAATGTCCTGTGTGGAGAATGCAATGTTGGTGTCGGCTTTTTTTCCTTTTAACACTGTCTCCCTTCTCATACTAAAGTACAGTACGGAGACCTCATTTAGTTCTTGCAGTTCATCTCATTTCAAGTGTGTCTGGAAGAAGCACTTCATTGAAAACAGTGCAGTTAAAAAACAAAAAAAACAAAACAAAAAAAAACACAAACACCTATATATAGATATATAAAAAAAAAATATCTGCTTTAGGAATACTCCTGTCTCCATGCTTTCCTCATCCAAGACTCCATCACACTGCACATGCTGCGTCTTAAGATGGTGGGTGTTCCATTTTATCCGCTCCTCTTTTTATTTCATGGAGTCGTACTCAACGCTGTGAACGCAAGGCTGTGAGATGGAAAACCAGAAGGCTTGTTTGAACTTCTGAAAACCTTGTGTGGGATTGGATTTGTGGTGCCAAGGCATGTGAGGGCTTGGTATGTGCGAGAAAAAGAAGGAGGCGCATGCAGAGAGAGACTTGGTGGTGCATTATGGGATTTTTTTAAAAAAACATTTTTTTTTTCTTGACGCAATGTCCCTCGACCCTGTGGCTTTGGTGAGAGAGTGTGCGGAGAGCGATGGGAGCAGACGTACGAATGTTTTCCTTGCATTCAAACGGACATCTGATCTGGAAGAACTTTTAAAAAGGGGGGGGAGGAGGGCGTTTTACTTAGTTAACCAAATTAGTTGGATGTGTTAAGTGAAACGAATATCTGTATATTTTTTTTTTCCTCTCCTTTATGTCAACTCTGCTGTGAATGCTGTATGGTGTGTGTTATTTTGTTCAATGATCCTGTAAGTGTGGTAATGTGAAACGAAGGTGGGGCTTTTGATGGGAACATCCAGTTCGTAGTGTGCTTTCTGTGTATTTTTTTTTCTTCTTTTTTTCTTCCAGCAAAGCTCACTTGCGAGCTCAGGTGTTCCCTTGCGGGTGGACGTTTTTTCTGTCTGTAAGATATCCATATGAATGCTGTTTGCTGAAGTTCTGTGTTTGGATGCTTTTTTATAAGATTTGTCAATGTAGGAAATTCTTAAATAAAACTGATTTAAGTAATACGTGTGTGTGTTTGACAGCCCCCAGGAGCAAAAGAGCTCCTATTTTTTAATTGATTAAAAGTATCATTTAGGATAAAAATTAAGTTTTTAAAAAATGTTTTTTAGGTTTGCCTGCCTCATGTAGCAGAAACTCCAAAACTTAAGACCCAGCCTTATCTTCATACCTTTTGCGATAAACATCTGAAATGCAATTCTGTTACATGAAGTACCCCATCCCTGGTCAGCAGGCACCACTAATTTCCTGGGTGTAAGCAAAGATCCCAAATAACCCTTGAGTATCTATAGCATTGTGTTCTCAGGGCATTCAGCCCTGCTGGGAATAGGATGCTATTAACCTCAGTTTCAATGTGGTGAACAGTTGGACAAAGTGTTGGCAAACATTTGGCTCTAAATGATAGTTGCAGGCCTTATACTGTTCCTTACTCGATACAAACTTACAGCTTTCATTTGGTAGGTAGTGGGAGCCGTCAATTTGGTCCCAACTAAATTTATACATTTTAAAACCTCCTTTCGCTTCCCTGATTTTGTTTGCATTTCAGCCTAAAATCCTATTTCCTTTTAAAGGACGTTAGTGTAGGTCTTAAAACTTATGTGCTGGGTGCTTATTGTGGCGTGGTTGTTCGATACTAAAAACTGGTTTATTACTCCAGAAGATGGTTCTTGATGTAAAGCAGATCTGTGACTATTCCAAAGGACATAATAAGTCTTACATTGCGTAATCTTTACTTCGCCTAAATCCGATCCTTTTGCCAAAATCTGTACCATCTGCATTTTGCATTTTAGCACTTGCATTAACACCAGCTACTGCTGCTGAGTAACACTTAATATGGTTTTCTCGGACCTCCCAAGGCTAAACTGTGTCATCCCAGGAAGGATCCTGAGGGTAAGTTTGATACCTCACTAGCATGGTTTCAGTAATTTATGTTAGCTTGTATTTATAAAGCCCAAGGGCCACTTCTGAACAGAGAGGGGGACCCATGCGGTGATCATTTTAATGCTACTTCAAGCACTAAGGGCTCTAATGTCCCTTCCCTTCCAATCCCTAAGCATCTTAGAAATGTTTTCAAACATGATTCATATCGTTAATTTTTTTCCCCCGTTAGTGTTGAAAGTGAGTTTAATAAACAGAATTCTCATAACTTGATTGTCTGGAGTCTTGTTTTTAACTTTTGTAGCCCTTGTATGTATTGTGCTAATGCAATTTAAAGAGGGAAATAAGGAACACAGTCGGTTTACCACCGCTAGAAGGATTATCTTGCTAATGAGCTTCATTTAGTAATAAGCAGCATTGTAATTTAACAGAGGCCCAATGTGAGCAAATGTGTGTTTCAGTTGCCTGCTGAGCCATCTCTTAATTACTGAGACTTTGCTACTCAAATAGATGTGATGATGAGAATTCCTTTTTCCAGTCCAGATTTGTGTGGGCGTGAATTAAATCTTGGAGCATTTTGATCGCAGCAGTTGAGACCAAACTGTTAACAGCTGAATGAGCAGGGCCTCTGGGCTCTTGCCCTGTTCCTATGGGCTGCATACTCCTGACACTCTTTCTCCCTCCCTCCCACCCCACCAGTTGTCAGGGATGTCTGTTTATAAAAAGAGAATAGTACCTCCAACTCTTCGGTAGCTAATAATGGAATTCCTTGTTTGCTAGGTTGAGCTAATTAAGATAAGCTTCAGTAAATGTAAATGCAAGGGGACGGGGAGAGAGATTAGCCCCAGTGGAGTTAAAAGATTTGGACTTTAAAATGGTAGACTTTAAGTTTGGTCTTTAAATACGGTAGGAAAAAACTGATGGCTTTAACCCCATGAAAAAAAAAATGAATAGATCTGGGCTGGGCGATTTCTACGAACCTTTTTGATTTAAAATGGGCCGTGGTCATAATAATTGGGGGGGCCCTGTGGAATTTTTAAGTTGAGATTTTGTCATCAGAAATTCACAAAGAACCCAACTCGCCTTGGTGAAAAAGCTTGATTTGTTGGTTGCACAGCGTAGAATCGGATTCTGTGGCTCTTTCTCCAAAATAAACCCCAGTCAGCTTGGAGGGGGGCTATAGATGAGCATTATTAAAATCCACAGAACTAACTGTGTTCTATGCTTTATTGAAAAATACAAACAAAAACCTGATTAAGAATGGCGTGCAATTAGGTCCTCGATCCACGGCGTATAATTGGGCACCTTAGTGTAGACCCCATAGAGCCCAGCAGAACCGCATTCCAGACCCCAGGAGACCACACCGCCAACAAACCACCTCCTGGCCTTAGTATCGTAGAACACCAGGGCGCCTCCGCTGTCCCCATAGCAGGAGTCCTTCCCCCCCTCCTCAGTTCCCGCGCAAAGCATATTTTCCGTCAGCACGAGTTTTCTCCCTTCCAAAGTCCGGTTTGCGTAGGCCGCTTTGCACTTGTCAGGCTCAACAACGTCTATCTCGGTATACAGCAAGAAGCGGGACTGCCGGGCCCGCTCCGTTTTCCCCCAGCCGGCGATGATTCCCGTGTCGTTCGTGTTCACCCGGAAGCCGGGGTTGTATCCCGGCAAGCAAATCGGGGTGATGTTTTTGTTAACGGGAACTTTGTGTTTCAGTTTAATCAGAGCGATGTCATTGTCGAAGTCGATGCCGTCGTTGACGAAGCCGCTGTGGAGGAAAACCGATTCTGCCCAGACTTGGTGGTAATGAGGGGAGCGTTTGTTGAGGAGCCCCAGTTTCAAGGTCAGGGAGGAGGCGTCAACTGGGCTGCCGAGGACGTGAGCGGCGGTTAAGATCCAGTTATCGTATAAAAGGGCTCCTCCTCCAGTTGCTCCATGCGCATCGGTGATTAAAACCTGCCAAGGGAATTGGCCTAGCAGAGCCTTCTGCCCTCCAAAGATACGCTTCAGAGTGTTAGACGTTTGGACTCCGCAGACTGGCAAAGAAGAGAAAGGAGATACGAGTCAAAACTGTTGTTAGTTCAGTGAGTTTTTATTCTCCCGGCCTCAGTCTATAAGTCCTAGAAAAGTGTCTTGTGAGAGTTGGATTACGTGTTCCAAACTCGTTTATTTTCCCATTTTTTTCCCTGCCCCAACAAGGAATTCCAGAGAGGAGGGTGGTGGTGGTGGTGGTTGAAATGTGGATGCCAGGTTTGCAAAGCACTTTTGACCCCTAAGCTATGAGATTTCTCTTTCCCCTACCTCAAGAGGTGGTTATCATTGTCTTTCCCATAGCAAAGTTCAAAGCTACGGCTGCATTGTAACATGGTGGTATCTATTGCAGCTTTAAAAACATTTAATGTAAGACATGTTTCTTAGTCACAAACCTAGGCCGCGTAAGTATGGAAATACCCATTTTTCCTTAATGCGTGGTCTTGCTTTGAGATCTCCCAGGTGCTGAATGGCTCAACTATTTTCTCCACATACATCACAGGTGTCAAATTCGCCGCGTCACGTGACGTGTTGTGATGTATCACAACTTTTTTTGCATTGCCGGAGCTGAGGTGGGCGCGGCCTCCGTATGATGCAACCGGCCCACGGGCCGGCAGTTTTGACACCCCTGACATATACGAATGCTGCTTTATTATTGGTAACACAAAACGTGCAACAACTACGTGGCGCAATCTGGTCTTCTCAAATACTGGCTTTGTTTCAGATGCCCCCCCGATGGTGCAGTTTCATTGGCTAATTAAATAGTTGATGAGATAAAAGACAAAGATTATTTTGTACTAATACAGAAGTTCTTGGAGAGATTTTTTTTTTGAAAAAAGGTTGCCATAAAGGATATTTCACGTACTTCTCATCCAAAAGCCTGTAATGCCCTGTCTTTAGCCTTGAATAGTGCCTACCTACAATAGTTTCTTTTGTACAGTTAAAAGTGAAATAGTTAACGCTTAATGAAAAATAACTTTCAGTCATCTTTGATTATACGGTTGTGAAAAAAAATCCGCATGAGATAAAAACAAAAAACTGGAATATTTTATGCCTATGATTTTACACACGCATACAAACCAACACACACACACACACCACAATTATGCACAGCTGGCAGGTCAGGAAGCAGATAAGCAGCACGAAGCAAGGAAATGGTGACATTTGCCTACGATCATATCCTTATGTAAATTTTGTAGAGCACTTGCATATATATATTACCTGGTTCACAGACCGGAGGTGCTTTGTTTCCCTTCTGATCCCTCCAGAAACCATCAGGGGCACACCGGTAGTTATCTGTGTAGACAGAATAGTCTTGGTAAAGAGCTATGCCACCCATGCTTCAAATTGCAGGCAGCTCTTTCCCACCAGTCTTAAATACAGTCCTAACCCTCACCAGAAGACCCCAATTTGCATCCCACAGTTTACTGATACCCCCTGTAGTAGATGACCCGGCTGAGCAGTCATCAGTTCAGAGTCCCTTTGCACCTACAAGATAAGAGTCCAGCCCTCCTTAAACTTCATGGACTCTTTATCTACCATCAATTTGCCTTGACAATTAGTAGTATAGATTCTAGCTTCGTGGTAGCATGAAGTCAACTTAATTTTGGAGCTAACCCTGGCTCCCGATTTCTTGCGCCTGCCTCTGTGCCCAGCAATATCGGAATCCTTACCTCTCTGCTCCACCAGTTTTACAAATGCCTTAAGTTGAAAAGCAGTTTTCACTCAGTAGGTGCGGACACGGTGCCCTACCAGAGCAATTAAAGCAAGACCCTAGCCCAGCATTCCTTTTTTTTCCTTTTTTTTAATGGAGCACCTCTTACTGTTTGATTGTCACATAATCGTAGAATTCTTTCTCCGTATGCTGGTTCACAATTCCCCCAAAGCAGCGCTTCATTCGCACAGGGGGCAATCTTTTGAGTAGCTTTCATGAAACTGCAAGGATGGCAGAATTCATTTTTTATAAACACTGAATTGTTGGGGTTTTTTTGGGGGGGGGGATGTCTATTGAGGCAGTCAAATAAGGGGGAGAGCTTTTCAGACAAGAGAATATTAATAGAAGATCCTGCTAACTAGAATGCTGGAGAGCTGCAGTCTGCGTGTTCCCTTTGAAAAACTCCCTCTGGGATCACGGAGTTTTTTCAAGCAAACTTGCCAGAAAAGATTTCTCTTACCAGAGTATCCGGTTTTCAGGGAGTAGAAGGGGCTTTCGCAGTTATATTTGATTTCAGCTTGATACGTGGAAATCTCTCTTCCGGTGACATACACAAGTGTGCCATTCGCTATGTCATTGGCAGGGCCGCAGTCAACAACTGGAAAGGAAGAAATATTAAGTGTCTGAAGGACTGGAATGCAGACAAGAAAAGTCAGGATAAAAACAGTGGCAGGCTAGGCAGTAGAGAAGCCGGTCCCAAGTCAAAGACATTTTTTTTCTGAGACTTACATTTTAGGCTCTGAGTATCTGTAGCCAGGAGTCTGCAACCCAGAGGCATTTAATTCTTACAAATTCTTTTAGTTAGCTCGTAAATAAAATAAACCACATTCTGCCTCTTAAGTGTTTCCCAAATGAGTTTTGCAGCATGAAGCCCATTTTAAAAGAAGAATGAGAGGGTGAACGGAAGCAAGATAAAAAGATTTTTTTGTGCTTTAACTCCCTTGGAGTAAATAGCGAAAACTGGGATATATATTGATCTGTCTCCGCTGAAAATATTTCAGAGCAGGCAATTTTGATTCTGAGATTCGAATGCACAATTGTCTCCCACAATTTTCATTAGAGAGCTTTGTCCGGTCAGACTTGACTCCCACAAGAAACAAGGAACATATCTGAGGACTGCAGGTGCCATGTGAATTCTGCAAAGACTTACTGGTGCATTGGGCCATTGGCTTGTTCCAGGTACCATCCTTTTGACAGGTTGCTTTGAAGGATTTGACAATCAGTTTGTTCTGTGCGAGGAAAAACGAAAGATTTCAGGGACTTCGTATCACGATTGGAGAGTGCCTTTGTTGGTAACCATTCCAAAAACAGTAAGTCAAAAAAACCCAGTGTTGTGTAATGCAAAAGCTTGATGTCCCTTCACCCCCAACCAGAAAGACCCAAACTGGGGAAGGTTAACAACAGCTCAATATTAAATGCATTTATATAATGTATCGTGTTTTCATCTCTGCAGGTGGAGCTGCTTCGGCCCAAGTTCCACGGCTCAAAATTTATACCGATCTGTATCGTTGCCAATCCATAGAAATAAAAACTGTTAAGAACGTTACCCACTTCCAAAAGCGCGTAGCCCACGTTGCAGGAGAGGCTGTAGAAGTCTTTCAGAATATATTTTGCCTGCGCTGGGGAGATCCGGCCATTGGGGGGTGCTTGAGGATTGGGACATGGCAAAGCTGCAGAGTTGGAAAACGGGGGAAAAAAAGACAAAAACCCAGCCCTGATTTCCAGCTTTTTGGCAAAGCACAATTAAATCATCCCACAGTTCTTCTCGAACTCTACATTTCGGATTCCTGTTCTATTAATTTTCCTAGCTTGAATGGAAATTTAATCTATGCAACATAGGGGCTGTATCATTGGCCCCACTGCAACTGCTTCAGGAACCATCTGTATTGTGAACCTGTTGGTAAAATTGGCATAACTTGCCTCAAAAGGATCTTAAGTGCTGCTGTTTTGAGGGTCAACGTAACCACAGGCAGTCCTTGACTTACAACATTTAGTGACCGTTTGAAGTTACAATGGTACTGAGAAAAAGATGACTTACTACGACCGTTTTTCACACTTATGACCATTGCAGCATCCCCATGGTCACGGGGCCAAAATTCAGACGATTGGCAACTGACTCATATTTATGACGGTTGCAGCATCCCGGGGTCACGTGATCCCCTTTTGCAACCTGACGAGCAAAGTCAGTGGGGAAGCCAGATTCACTTAACCATGTTAATAATTTAACAACTGGAGTGATTCACTTAATAAAAGGGGCAAGAAAAGTCATAAAACGGGGCAAAACTCACTTAAGAAATGTCTTAACATAAATTTTGGACTCCGTCGTAAGTTGAGGACTACCCGTATCCCTTTACAACAGGATTTCAAATTTGCCTTCCCCCCCCCCCCGCCTTTTTACCGTGCTTCTCCCCTTTCTCCAAACATAATTTGCTTCATGGATGAATGGAGGACATCCCTGTACTTTCTAGTATAGTTCAGTTTCTGCAGACACCCCAGGTTGTGCTTCTAACCTGTTGTGTGATATCTGAGCTTCCATCCAGCATGAACACCAGAAATGTCGGTGATGAACGTGATATCCACCGTATTGGTACGCGTTTCAATTTTGGGAGGTGGGGAATTGCCGCAGAAAGGACCAAATTCTTTCTTGGGTGTCTTAATCTGGAAGAACCACAAAATATAGGCACTTTATAGCATTCAACATCCAGATATTGCAGTCTGAGAAGCTCTGTCTGATGTCCCCATTTAAGAAAGAAACTTCTTCGATTATTTTTTAATTTCTTTTTATGTTATTTTAAATATGCTAAGTTTTGAAGATAACACCTCCAAAATAGAATTTGTCTGTTGTGAGGCTGCAGAAAATGTATGAAATTCATTGGATTGACTGTAACACAAGTACTGCATGGTTTTAGGATGTGTCATTCCATAAGCATCCCTGTCAGTGTGATCCTACAGTAGAGAAAGAAATGGCTTTAGAAGGTGTGCAGAAATGTGCCATCGTTTTTTTAAAGGCAAGTATTAAATTTATTTCAGGTTGCATCTTTAAATTTAAATGATTGTGTGGCAAGTAGTTTTTGGGGAAATCCTCTTGATTAAATTTTGGAAAGCCTGTATCGGGTCATTGTGGACAGGACCTCGTGGCTCACAAGTGTGGTAAAATAGAAATATGTTGTAAATATTAATTTATTTTGAAGGTTTCTTGTGGCGTTGACTGGCTTCACACATCATACTAGATTGTCATGTCATTTGTCTACTTTTGCCTCTGAAAGTCTTTTTGATTTTCTTCTTTGATTTTTATCAGTTGTTTTAAAGCTTTTGTGTTTCTTTTGTGCTTTGCTGGTAGGTAGGTAGGTAGGTAGGTAGGTAGGCAGAGAAAGAGATAGATAGATAAAGATAAAAAAAGAGATAGAAAGATAGAGCAAGAGGTAGGTAGGCAGGTAGGTAGGTAGGTAGATAAAGAGAAAGATATAGATAGATAAAGAGAGATAGAGATAGAAAGATAGAAAGAGATAGATAGAGAAAAAGATAGATAGATAGATAGATACATAGATACATAGATACATAGATACATAGATACATAGATAGATAGATAGATAGATAGATAGATAGATAGATAGATAGATAGATAGATAGATAGATAGATAAAGATAGAAAGAGATGGTAGATAGATAGAGAAAGAAAAAGATAGATAAAGAGAGAGAGAGAGAGAGATGTGTTTGTGAACTGTAATTTAGGGCTTAACATATCTTGAACCCAGCCATTTGTAGTTTATTCAACTAATCATGATGCCAGGGTGCTTTGTGTAGCTGGTCTCTGTGTTAGTTACCTGCAGTGAATTAAATAGAGCTATGTGAAAAATCCAGATTTCTACCACGGAGGACCTATAACGCGAACCCCACTGACCTTCAGGATGTCATAAGGACACAGTACATCTGGATGGGCTTCTACATCAAAGATCCCCACAAATTCTAAGATGACCATGAAACCGTCTTCCACCCGGATGCTATAGCTGCACTCGGAGATTTTAGGATACGGGTTGGGATAATTGGGGCTGGAGATCTCTCCAGTTCTTGCCGTCAACACCTTATTCGGACAGTGCGCTGAAAGGAAGGGGGGGGGAAGAAGAAGAAGAAAAAAAAATTGAAGCCTTCTTCAGAAAAAAAAATGTATGCAGTTTAAAAAAAACAAAAAACATTCATTTCAAGGTTCGCACTGAGTTTTGAGCTAAAAAAGACCCTTTCGAATCTTGGGCTGACGTAAGAAAGAAACGAGATGTAAACCCCCCAGTGTTCCACAGGGAAGCTTGGCTAACAGGAGATTGAAGTATTCATTGATCTGAGCAAGTACAGGCAGTCCACAACTGAACAACGGTTCGTTTGGCGACTATTTGAAGTTTCAACAGAACTGGAAAAAGTAACGTAGGACCGTTTTTTCACACCGTTGCAGCATCCCTGTGGTCACATTGATCAAAATGCAGACGCTTGGCAACTGAACTCATCTTTATGACGGTTGCAGTATCCCCGGGGTCATGTGATCCCCTTTTGCTGCCCATCTGACAAGCCAAGTCAGCGGGAAAGCCAGATTAACCTGGTTCTAACTCAGCGGTGGGATTCAGCCAGTTCGCACCACTTCGGCAGAACCAGTAGCTAACTTTTTGTTGCCCAGGCACAGAATGGACTTCCGGAAATGGCATCCATGCAGAGAACCGGTTGTTCACCTATTTGAATTCCTTCCTTCCTTCCTTCCTTCCTTCCTTCCTTCCTTCCTTCCTTCCTTCCTTCCTTCCTTCCTTCCTTCCTTCCTTCCTTCCTTCCTTCCCTGTGGTGGGATTCAGCCAGTTCGCACCAGTTCAGCAGAACTGGTAGCTAGCTTTTTGTTGCCCAGGCCCAGAATGGACTTCCGGAAGTGGCATCCATGCACAGAACTGGTTGTTCACCTTTTTGAATCTCACCACTGTTCTAACTTAACAACTGCATTGATTCGCTTAACAGCTGTGGCAAGAAATGTCGTAAAATGGGACACTTAGTAAATGGTCTCTCTCCACCCCAGTAATTTTGAGCTCAGCTGTGGCTGTAAGTCAAGGACTAATTGTACTTATCACCTAGTTTGGGGGATGGGGCTCTCTTAAAGGGCTTTAAAGCAACGATGGGTGCTTCCCATCATTTCTTATTTAGAGATAGGGTGGTCTGTGCTGAGACCCTCTGGGTACAGTCTGGATACCTGCTTATTATCCTGGTGTCCTGTTAGGAGCAGAAGGAGAAAAAGAGCTTTCCTGTTAACCTCCCACTTTTGACTAATACGCAGTTCTCAATAGAGAGAGAGAGACGGAATGTTTGTTCGCAGTGCAGTTTGTGCCACAGCCATCCATCCATCCATCCATCCACCTCTTTCCTTCTCAGTATCTCCCAAAACGCAAGTCGCCTCCTGACGACACCGTTCACGGCTGCCAGGTGGAACAGAGTTTCCCGGGGTAAAAATCCAGCATTGTACGAGTTTTTGTGGCCGAGAAATGTACAGCCACAGTGTCTCCAGAGGCAGGACTTGCCCTTCTAACACATGTCTGCTAATTTCCCCTCGGTACCTTTCCTTTTAATTTAAATTGAATGTAAATGAAATATAGTGAGTTTAATTATTCCGCTAAACGTTCCTCTTCTTCCGACAGGTGAAAAGGGGAGGTCTGGGGTCGCGTGCCACGCTTGAGACCTGTAGGTTCCCCATATCTGCCGTAAGGAAGGCCAGAGAATGGACGAAGGGAAAAACGACGCTCTCTAGAATCTGGTGTCGCTGAACGCCGAACCTTTTCCTGGTAGACTATTAAAAGTTTAATGCAGTTCAATTTATGATTAGATGGCTTGGGCACCAGTAAGAGAGCCGTATCGACAGAGGTGTCACACAGGCACAGTTCAATTAATACGTAGCGGAGCAGGCATTAATATTAATTCAGCATTTCTGAATACAAGGGCTGTGTTTTTATTTTGTAGAAGCACACAAACCCACACACACATTTAGCCCTGGCACAAAAGCAGCGCCCCCCCTCTCCCGGTTCTGCCTTTGGCCATAAACACCAGCTGAGTTTTAGGAGTATCAAGAGAGCATTCAATTACACTTAGGCCTATATTTTTTATTGGAGATAACACTGCAGTGCCCACCAGAGACTCGGAACAAGCCTGTCTCAACTGGCAAAGAGTGTGGTTGCTGGATCATTAGGTCTGAAATTAACAGTTGCCCGTAAATTTTGGTTCCTGAGTGACTGGGATAACGTGGCAAAGACCGATGACTAGAAAATAAAGGGGGAGAAGCTAGTTGGCTCTGTGAATGAACCGAAGCATAAACCATGATTTACCCATAAGGATGGCTAAGTCCTACAGTAAGATAGACAGGAAGTTACAGGTTAGGGCCAAGTGTGAACAGTTAAAAGTACAAACCATCTATGGATGTCTGAGCTTAACCGTCAATTCCCCACTAGAAAGTCTCACCCTTGAGACGACAGGTCTTATGGATGAAGTAAACCAAGAGTTGCTTTGAACTTTAGGCTCCTATAGGAAGCAGGTTGGCAAGGGGGGGGGGGCAGCTATGTTTATTTCCTTCCCCAACTGTCCTCCCCAAGTGTTTTATTTCCTCCCCAGGGCTCCAAGAAAAATATATTGAGGGAGGGAGAGGCGTTGGGAGGTTGATGGAACAAACCCCGGAGGAAGAGCTCAAATCTCTTTTTTGTTCATCTGTTCCAAAATGCCCAATTTCTAAGTGTGATGTGATTGGACTATGAAGCAGTAATGTGCTGAGATTTAGGTGGACTGGAAAATCTGTCTCTCCTGGCATTAAGCTTCAGATGAGGCAGGAGCTTACTGTGATTCTGTTTCAGCCTCCTTCCGATTCCTCCTTTCCCCCTCCCAGGAAACCTGCTGGATCTGGGTAGGATACCGTTTCCTTATATGATCCTGTGCCTGTCCACTCTCCCTCCTGGCCTAGTCCTCTCAGGGCAGTTTTCAGCCCAGCTGGTGACCTCTTTCCGTTTCCCTTCTTCCCTTGTGTAGCGTGCCATTGCAAAATAAAACTTTGCCGAAAGGTGGGAAAGGGTGGAAGCCATTTTATTGACCACAGGAGGCAGATCACCATGGGAGAAGCAAAGGGAAGAGCTAGACGCGGAATGAAGGTAGCCCTCCGCGGGTTTTTCAGGAGAAGACCCCTGTCTCCATCTCTGCCTAAGCTGGGGAGCGGCAAGCTTATTTCACGCTGCAAACGAGAAAGACGGACAAGAAGAAAAACGACGCTGGTGAATAGCATCCTTCTGAGTGAGCGGCATACCAGGTTTTCATTTCTTTTTCCTTTTCTGAAGTTACCAAAGCTTGCTAAAGTTTCTGAAGGTACTTGGTCAGCTTAGCTTGTTTTAAGTCATAATGAAACATGCAGCAGCTGCTTGCGTAAGCGAATTAGGGAAATGGTGTTTTTTTAATAAAAAAAATAAAAGGCTCAGGTATCCACGCGCGCGGGCCAATTTTTGACTACTTCAGCCTCCCTGCTTTCTAGGAACTTGGACTCACCTTTGCAAGTCTTCTTGTCCCTGTGCAGAAGGTAGCCAATCGGGCAACTGCAATAGAAGCCGCCCAGGTAATTGTGACAGTGGTGGTCACAAGGCAACTCGCCGTCGGCTTGCCCTTCACACTCATCAACGTCTAAAAGAGAAAAACAGCAATGGAGGAGGGGCATGCTCGACTTGTGGAATAAAATGTGACTCTTTGGGGCAAGATTTGTAGAAGCAAGAGGCAGCAGGCTGGCTGCTGACACACAACCTGGGAAATACCACAACTGGATTGTAAGTGGTATTAGTTTACGGGTCTTTCTGGTCCAAAGTTCTGTGGGTTTTTTTCCGCGTCTTTTGCAGACCCCTCCAACGTTCAGCGGTACCATTCCTGCGATTTCCCTCGGTTTCAATTTAGAGCAGGGGTCTTCAAACTTGGCCCTTTGATGACTTGTGGACTTCAACTCCCAGAATTCCTCAGCCAGTGTGCACGCTGGCTGAGGAATGCTGGGAGTTGAAGTCCACAAGTCATCAAAGGGCCAAGTTTGAAGACCCCTGATTTAGAGAATATACACGAAACTATATTGTAACTTCCAAAGCACCTTCTAGGTGAAAACTAGATTAAGAACTCCACTCCTTACTTTGCCCCACTGTACCTGTTCCTAAACTTACATTATTGATCATAGCCAGTGGCAGCAATTCTAGGTTAGCCTCAAGAGTTGCTTCCAGGAGAAGTCCGAGACTGAACCTTTTGCCGATCAAATATAGCACCTCACGATCAAGTAACTAGTTCCTACCATATCAGACTGGTGCCCATTGGACTCCACCAATGGGGGGTCTCAGGCAGACCCCATTTCCATAAGGTTGCCATCTTCCCCCCCCCCAGCCATTTCTCTCCTGCTCTTACCTTCAGCAGCGTAGAAGGCCTCAAAGCCCGTGAACTGTTTCTCATTGGAATAATCCGATCTGAAAGTCACTGCTAAGTTGTTGTTAATGGAGCGGTATGTCTTTTTCCCAGGGGCCTCCTCCGTGTCCGTGCTCTCCTGCCCGCAGAGAGTGGCCACGACCTTTCCTCCTGAGTGTAGCTGCAAAGCAAACACAGAAATGAGCCCGGCCGTTGACTTGCACCTTCCCCTGAGGTTCTCTGGCGACGTGGTAAGGACACACGGGGTCTCCCTAAGCAAGAGAATCTTGCTCCATCTTCCTGGAGCCAAGCAAATACGACACAAGGTCAGGTTGCTTGCTCACTGGAATCAAAAGCTTGCTCACTGGAATCCACATGCACACAAGCCAGGCTTACATAAGCGCTAGAGGTTTCACGTACTTTGACATAGTCGTATTCACACTGGTAAGACAGCTCAAGGTTGAAGTGGGTAAAATAGATGCGCAGAACATAGCCTTGGGGAACAGTGATATTCCATATCCTCTCCTTGTTGTTAGGATAGACGTTGGGGAAGTCCGGAGAGGCGATCCTCCCGTACATTTTGTCTAGCTGGAGGACATCGCCAAGCACTCCGTGCCACAGAGCGAGGAGCAAGAAGCAGAATCTGTGTCGGAGGAAATAGAGAAAATTACCACATAAACACACACACACACAAAAAAAACCCAGCTGGCTGATCCTTCACTCATGCTGATTGACGTTTCAAACCCCTTCCTTCCTTCCTTCCTTCCTTCCTTCCTTCCTTCCTTCCTTCCTTCCTTCCTTCCTTCCTTCCTCATCTCATCTCCTTTCTCTGTCTTTTCAGATTTTTTTTGAGCCGAATGGCAGTCCTTGCCCCTTTAAAAATATTCTGTAAAGTTAAAGAGTCGAGTATAAAAACCGTTTGAATCCCATTACTAAAACAGGCAGAAATTGATTGAATTCTATAGACTGCCCGGACATAACAAACTTCGATTCTTAATCTGTCCAAGCCAGATTTGCCAATTTGTCATCGCTGTCATCGCCATGTAGAAGCTGAAATTTAAGAAAGCCCAACACACATCCTTAAACAGAGAGAACCCAAGAAGAAAAGCCACGGTTGATCAAATTAAAAGACTGATTTAATGTGGCGCCTTGTCTCCTTCCATAACTGAACAGAATCCTCCAGGAAGCGGGACCCGACCCTGTTCTTCCCCATTAATTTATCAAACAGCCTACTAAAGCCATGTAAGTTGATGGAGGGCATCCTATCTTCAGAAATTCAATAGGCCTGCGGTAGCAGGGGGAAATCACACGGACAGTTTCACAAGCACACAGCCACCCTGGTTGCTCGCCACAGACCACGCACTGGATTACGAAAGCGTTTCCCCATCAAAACAAGGTAATGGCAATCCACAGATATTGGCCGAGATCATTACGATGGAGAGAAAGGAGACCGCTTGTTCTCCTTCCCACATAACGAGGCAAACTAGATTCTTCCTGGAGACCAAGTTGTGTCTGTGCCTCACAACTTGGTCTCCAGGAAGCTCCAAGAGATTGCTTCTTTCATGGCTGCTTACATTAGTAATGTGTGTTTTTTTACAAAGATCAGTGAGATTTTGCTGGTCAGAAGTTCACATTGAAACCCCCCTGTTTAATTCCACCAGTGCCCTTGATAGAACATACCTCATCACAGCAGGGTTTCCTGTCTTTTTCCACCCAGGTTTCGCAGTCAATCGCTTTCCCCGGCCTACGGACGGTCGTTGAGGAAGGCTTTTCCTGTGTTGATTCAGCGATGTTTGTCTGAATTTTGAACTCTGGTCTTACTTTCTGTCAAAAGGCAAGCGGCGGAAGTTGGGACGGGCTCCCGTCCATCCGTTCTTTCTCGGGCCACCTCTCTCTTCTTTCCCTTGAGAGAGACACACACCTAAAGTCTTTTAACCTCTCAGCTTGTTCTGAGATACACCCAAGTTGAGAAAAAAAAAAGAGAATGCCACTTGTGGGCGAAGGGAGAGAGATAAAATGGGGGGAGGTACAGGGAAGTACACACAACTTTGTGGGCTGAGAGAGGAGGAGGGAAGGTTTGCATTTGGCAATAGCCATTGTGTTTCCTCAGCTGGGTCTTCCCTGCTCTTGTGCAATGTCTTGAACCTGTCAAAAATCCAGGCACTTCTCTTGTAGCTGGAGAAAGAAAGGCAAGGAGTAAAGAAATACTTTCATTTTGTCTGAATATACGGGTGTGGGCAATGCTAGCGGTAGTGAATGGCACCTGGAACCTTGAACTGATTGCTCCTTGCCTTAATGAGGACTCCCCTCCCCCTTTTATTGCATTTCTAAATCCAGACCTAAAAGAAAATACTCTAAATATTTTGCTTTCCCTTATCGTTTACTTACCACCCTTGAAAATCCACCCCATAAGATGCTTTTACACTGAATTCCACAAATTGTGGTTTCACAGGCTATTTCACATTTCTTCCACATTTACTAGGACATTAGGGAAGTGCTTCTCTCCTCTCTAACAAACATTTTGAATCTGGCTTTAACTGGTTGTTCTTAGTAAAAAAAAAAAAAAAGTAAATTTCACAAACGTCCATAGAGACAAGCAATATCTTTTTTTCTAGTATTTTAGCCAGACGTTTTTCCCAGGCAGAAGAAAGATGTACTGGGAGAGATAAATAGGAAAGGTGTATCAGTTCTATAAGATGGAGAGCAATAGAAGAAGGGGACGACAGAGAATGAGGTGGTTGGATGGAGTCACTGAAGCAGGAGGCGTGAGCTTAAATGGACTCCAGAAGATGGTAGAGGACAGGAAGGCCTGGGGGAATGTCGTCCATGGGGTCGCGATGGGTCAGACACGACTTCACAGCTAACAACAACAATCAGTTCTATAATAGGAGAGGGGAAACTCCTTTTCAAAGGATAGCTAATTTAGCTGTCAGCTACTCGTGTTCACAGCTCCTTCATCCTTTTCAGACGGCCAGTACTGAATTTGACATCTCTACACCAAGCAAGATGAACCATAATTCCCCATTTCCACCCACCCAGGTCTTCCAGCCCACGAAAGCAAATATGAAGCTGTCATGTCTGAATCAGGCCAGGTTCTCTTGAAGTCCATTTTGTCTTCACTAGTAGTCTATTGCTTTTCTGGTTTTTACTTGGTACCCAAGGTCCTAGTCCTTGTACAAGCCAAGTAAGTTCTCCAGCACTTAGCCTCTTTAATTACAGAGATGGCCTCTGAATTACTTAGAAACCACTCAGTGGACTCCTTACTCAAGAACCCTAGACACAAACACACACACCCTACATCTGCCACCTCTTTGCTTCTTGTTTTGAAGATCACCTGGATTGACAGAGTCTGCAATTACCTTGCCATTTTATTATCCACGTACTGCTCCGTTGTCGTTTTGCCTTTTGCAAAAATCACAATTTGTACTTTTTGGGCTGAGCAGAGGGGAAATACGAACTGATGGCTGATCAAAAATTAACTAAGCAGATTTCATTTGGGGCGTGAAGATAAGTGGGCCTGTCTGCAATTTTTGATTGTTCATTTGAGGGTAAATGATCTGATTGGCCATCGCAGGGGATGAACCCAGATAATTATTTATTTATTTATTTATTTAATCCCATTTATACCCCGCCCTTCTCCCGACAAGGAGTAAACTGCATATAAACCATATAATCCATTTATACCCCGCCCTTCTCATGACAAGGAGTAAACTGCATATAAACCAGAAATCTCCCAGTTCAAATCCCTGCAGTGCCAACAAGTGCATAGTATGTACACTATACCTGTGTGTTTTCAGCTAACACAAAATCACATAATACACGATGTTCTAACCAGGTTCTATCGCCCATCTGAAGCTTGTCGGGTGCATTAAACATAAACTGCTGTACTTTTTTTTTTTCCCCTCAACCCGGTGTCTCATTTTCATCACTGCGACAAGCAGCGAACAAGCACTGAAAGATAATGGGTGATATTCTCCGGAGCAGATGTCAAGTTGGCTCCGAGCTTAGACGCGAGTCATAAAACCCCCTGATTTCCATCCGATTGCATCGGAGCGTCTTCGGCTTTATGAGAAGAGCTATCCCGACAATATGCCTAATGTCCTTGGCCCAGTAGAATCCACACCTTCAAGAGACGGTGAGCTTGTACTATGTCAAAGGAAGCCCAATCTTTTTCTCCCCGTCTCCCGGGTCTGCTTGTCACCACGGAGAGGAGACGGGCATCAGCTGAACGCTGTGCACAACAGGGGTTCAAGATCAAGATTCATGTCCTGTTTCTGAGCTTGAATTAGATCACAGTTAGGACCCCCCCAAAGCAGCACTCCTTGAGTGCTGAGTGACAGATGAAGAGAAGGTAAAAAAAGAGCATCTTCTTTTAAAATAAATTTTTTTTCGACACTGAAATATTACTTGGAGACAGTTCAAGGAGGGAGAATCCTAATGGTTTTGGTGTTCCAGCAGAACGGAAGGAAATGGGCTGGCTAATAATAATAATAATAACAACAACAACAACAACAATAATACTTGGAAGGGACCTTGGAGGTCATCTGGTCCAACCCCCTGCTCAGGCAGGAAACCCTATACCATTTCAGACAAATGGCCGTCCAGTCTCTTCTTAAAAACTTCCAATGTTGGAGCATTCACCACCTCTGGAGACAGGTTGTTCCACTGCTTAATTGTTCTCGCTGTCAGGAAGTTTCTCCTTAGTTCTAGGTTGCTTCTCTCCTTGATTAGTTTCCACCGGTTGCTTCTTGTCCTGCCTTCAGGCGCTTTGGAGAATAGCTTGACTCCCTCTTCTTTGGGGCAGCCCCTGAGATACTGGAACGCTGCTATCATGTCCCCCCTCGTCCTTCTCTTCATTAAACTAGATAGACCCAATTCCAGCAGCCGTTCCTTATATGCTTTAGCCTCCAGTCCCCTAATCATCTTTGTTGCTCTTCTCTGTACTCTTTCTAGAGTCTTAACATCTTTTTTACATCGTGGTGACCAAAACTGGATGCAGTATTCCAAGTGTGGCCTTACCAAGGCCTTGTAAAGTGGTATTAACACTTCACGTGATCTTGATTCTATCCCTCCTAGCACTGTGTTGGCTTTTTGGCAGCTGCAGCACACGGCTGGCTCATATTTAGGTGATTGTCCACTAGGACTCCGAGGTCCCTCTCATAGTTACTACTGTTGAGCAAGGTACCCCCTATACTATACCTGTACATTTGTTTTTTCTTGCCTAAGTGTAGAACCTTACTTTTTTCACCATTGAATTTCATTTTGTTAGATAACGCCCAGTGTTCAAGTCTGTCCAGATCCTCCTGTATCTTAAGCCTGTCTTCTGGAGCCTCTCGTTTTCCTTCATGGGCACAACTGAGGGTTTGGATTTTCATAGTGTCTACAGGATTTAAGGAGGACGAGGCAATTCCTTTCTCTCCGCTGCTCATCCCAGTTAAAAGTAAAGTTCCTGTCTCTATTCCCAGAAGAAGAACAGAGCTGGGTTCCTAATGGCTTCGTGGGTGCATCCTTGTCATTTTCCTGGCAGGGGTTTGCATTCTTTTCTCTCTGATTTCTCCTTTCAGTCCCCCAGTCTAGCCTTTGGTCCTGAGGTCCTCTTGGGAGCCCATCCAAGTCTTCACCAAGCCCGACACTGCTTAGGCTCTCCACACAAGCAAGGTCTGGCAGGTGCTACTTCCCGCAGAGTCCGCTATCAAAGGCTCATTATGCGTTTAGCATCATCGCCACCTCCTGTTTTATAGAATGCAGTTGGAACCATTTTTTCTCTCTCTCCTCCAAATCTGATTTGGTTGGGAGCTTGAACTGGCTGTTTATGTGATGATCCCCAACTTGGCCAGCTTTCTTCTCCAACCTCTTCTGCCAGGTTTGGTGCTATAAAACAGGACTAAATGAAACAAGCCTGACACTCTTGTTTGATTTGTTGACTTGGCCCCGAAGCAACAGAATTGGCACCCAGGTATTAAAAACAGTTGGGTAGCATTGATGGCCAGCGGTAATGCCCTCATTTGTGGAAGATGAGCCTCAGGGTGCTCAGCTACTTAACGCAGCATTAGTGCTTCGTGCCCACTGCCCTGTTTCTTGCCCTCAAAGCTGGCTCAGCCTTTCCCAATATGGGGCTTCCAGATGTAACAGAATAACAGAATTGGAGGAGACCTTGGGGGGTCTGCTATCCAACTCCTTGCTCAAGCAGGCGACCCTAGACCATTTCAGACAAATGGGGGTCCATTCTCTTCTTAAAAGCCTCCAGTGATGGAGCACCCACAATTTCTGGAAGCGAGACGTTCCACTGATTAATTGTTCTCACTGTAGGAAATTTCCCCTTAGTTCTCTCCTTGATTAGTTTCCATCCACTGCTTCTTGCCCTGCCTCCAGGTGCTTTGGAGAATAGAATCATACAATAACAAGAGTTGGGAGGGACCTTAGAGATCTTCTAGTCCAACTCCCTGCTCAAGCAGGAGACCTTATAACCTTCTGGACAAGTGGCTATCCAGTCTAGAAGACTAGACTAGAAGACCTCCAAGGTCCCTTCCCACATTGTTAGTCTGTATTTAGTCTTGAAAGATTTCCAGGGAAACTTCTAACAGAGCCATTAGCAGCCTCTGGGGACAGAGCAGGTCAAGGAGACGGGATCCATTGAAGCAGAAACTTGTTAAATTTCCCAATTCTTTCACCTCCTGTTTCTGTCACCTCTTCAGTCTTCAAAGGGATTCCAAGTGTGAGAGCGACATCCGGCCTAATGCGAGTGGATGTGTTTTTATGGAGGCACCCAAACGAAGGCTGAAAAGACTTTAAAAAGTTTTTCCCCTCGTTTCCCAGTTTCTCTGTACCTCTATGCTTCTTCTCAAGGTAACATTGCAATTTTACACCTTTGGGAAAGTAGAGCTGGCAGCTGGGGACCGGGAGGGTGATGTGGGGGCGTGTGTATGTGTGGGGGAAGGATGATGGTTATGTCAGGACTGAAAATAAAGCCGTGTACCAGGAAAGGGAGGTGGGCTGATTTTCCAGCTACAAAAGGCAGTTTAACTTCTGCAAGTGGATGTGTCTCCACTCAGAGCTGACTGTTTTACTTCCATCCACTGCATATTACGATCCATCTGCTGTATTGCCATTTTCGGGCAAGACTATGCATGTTAAGAACTGGCCAAATAGGAGAGTACTCGCTTCTCATTTCTCAAATCTTCCATGGCAGCTTCTTCTTTTTTTTTTTTGAAAAAGTTTTATTGATTTTCTAATTTCACATTTAAATATTTGAAAAGCAACGTGGCGGCTGAGTTGGTCAATAGTTCAATAACGTACAAATATCTTTAGTACAGATCTCAAAACTATTACATTAAATATTTTCTCTCTTTTCCCTTTGGTGTTTACTGTCTTATATTTGAATGGACACAATTCTTATGGTATCGATTAAATAAACATAACTTTCTTACATTTATCAATAATTTTTGTTCATACGTATCCTAGTTGTTTTAACACTCAATCTTTTTAAACA